GGTGAGGCTGCTGCTCTAGGTGCTAGCGAGGCTGCTGCTCTAGGTGCGTCTTCTCCCTCAGGTGCTGGTGAGTCTGCTCTCTCAGGTTCTGCGTCGGCTTCGGCCTCCCACACCTTCACTCTTGACTCGGGTGCTTCCCGCTCCTTCTTTCGAGACCGCACCACGCTTACGCCGCTCAGTCGGCCGGTTGCGGTCTCCCTGGCAGACCCCTCTGGGGGTCCTGTCCTTGCTCACTTCTCCATTGTCCTCCCGTGTCCGGCGGCCCTCTCTGGCACCCTGTCTGGTCTTTACCTCCCCTCGTTCTCTACGAACTTGGTGAGTGGTGCTGACCTACAGGATGCGGGGGTTCACCAGTTCACTCCTGCGAGTCAGCGGGTGACCTACTGCACGGACGCTCGGACAGGCCGACACCTGGCCACGTTTACACGTCGGCCGGGGACGAGCCTGTACACACTGACCACTGCGTCTCCTCCAGTCACTGCGTCTGGTCAGGTAGCTGCGTCGGGTCAGGTGTTTGCTGCAGCGTCCAGGTCTGGTCCTGAGTCTGCCCCCTGTTCGTGTCGCCTCCTGTCTCACGAGACTCTCCTCTGGCACCACCGCCTTGGTCACCCCTCCCTGCTTCGTCTCCGAGGCATGGCCTCCCGTGTCCTTGTCTCTGGTCTTCCCCGGTCCCTCCCTCCCCTTCCTCCGGGGCCTGGCCCTACCTGCATCCCCTGTGTCGAGGGGCGGCAGCGGGCTGCCCCTCACTCCTCCCAGTTTCCTCCGACAGAGGCCCCGCTGCAGACGCTTCACATGGACGTGTGGGGCCCGGCCCGCGTCCGTGGACAGGGTCACGAGCGCTACTTTCTGCTGGTGGTTGACGACTACTCGCGTTACACCACAGTCTTCCCCTTGCGCAGCAAGGGTGATGTCACTGAGGTGTTGATCGACTGGATCCGCGCAGCTCGTCTCCAGCTCAGGCAGAGCTTCGGCTCGGACTTTCCTGTTCTGCGTCTGCACTCTGACAGAGGTGGAGAGTTCTCCTCTGGCCTTCTGCGAGCCTACTGTCGTGCACGAGGCATCCGCCAGACCTTCACGCTTCCGGACTCTCCACAGCAAAATGGGATTGCTGAGCGCCGCATTGGCATGGTCATGGACGTCGCCCGTACGTCCATGATGCATGCGGCTGCCCCCCATTTTTTGTGGCCGTTTGCGGTTCGGTACGCGGCGCATCAGATCAACCTTCACCCCAGGGTCTCCATGCCGGAGACCTCCCCAGCCTTGCTGTGGACGGGGAAGGTTGGCGATGCGTCTGCGTTCCGTGTCTGGGGATCTCGGGCGTTTGTCCGCGACTTGTCTGCGGACAAGCTGTCCCCTCGTACTGCTCCTTGCGTCTTCCTTGGCTTCCCCCCTGACGCGCCAGGGTGGCAGTTCTACCACCCCACCTCTCGCCGTGTTCTGTCCTCCTAGGACGTCACGTTTGACGAGTCGGTCCCCTACTACCGCCTCTTCCCCTACCGCACTCCGTCCCTCCCCCCGCCACCGCTCTTCCTTGTACCAGGTCCCCCCCCGGTAGACCCCCTCCCCCCTCAGGGTCCTGCACCTTCAGGTGTGTCCCAGGTAGACGCAGTCGAGCCTGTCGAGGTTACTGGTGACTCTGGTGCTGCTGAGGGTGCTGAGCCTGGGGGTGCTGACTCTGGGGGTGCTGAGCGTGTGGGTGCTACGCCTGGGGGTGCTGAGCCTGAGGGTGCTACTACTGGGGGTCCTGAGCCTGGGGGTGCTGAGCCTGGGGGTGCTACTACTGGGGGTGCTGAGCCTGGGGGTGCTGAGCCTGGGGGTGCTACGCCTGGGGGTGCTGAGCCTGGGGGTGCCACGCCTGGAGGTGCTGAGCTTGGGGGTGCGGAGCCTGAGGGAGCTGGGCCTGCTCGTGTGGCGTCTGGCGGTGCTGAGCCTGGAGGTTCTCCGGGTGCTTCGTCTCGGCGGGAGCCACTCTCTCCACAGGAGCTGCGCGAGTGGTTTGCCCGGCGCTGGAGGCGTGCTGCTGGAGCTGGAGGTTCTTCGGCTGCTGAGGGTGCTGGTGCCGCGGGTCCCGGAGGTGCTCGTACTGGGAGTACTGGAGTTGCTAGGCCTGCGGGTACGACTGGAGCTGGAGCTGCTGAGGGTGTTGGCGCTGAGGCTACTGCTGTCGGTCCTAGAGGCGGTCCTGCTGGGGGTGCTACTGGTGCTGCTGGAGGTACTGGAGCTGGAGGTGCTGCTGGCGCTGGTGCTGCCGCTGGGGGTACTGGTGCTGTCCCTGCTGTGTCTGGAGTCGCCGCGCGGCCTCGTCCGTACTTCGTTCCGCTCCTTCAGCAGGTTCTTGGTCTCCCGCCTTCTACTGGTCCTCCTCCTCCCTTAGAGTGTCCACAGCCTGTCCCGTCACAGTTCCAGTTACAGCCGGCCTCCCCACTGCCTGCTCCTTCTCCCTACACTGGTCCTACTGGAGGTCTTGCTGAGCGTCGTGAGCCAGTGTCTCGCCCTGCGTCGCCTGTCCGTGCTGCTCGCACTAGTGGTCGTGGTTCGCGTCAGCGTCCTCCTCCTGTCCCTGGCACGCACCGGATGTCTCTGCGTCCGTCCACTGCTCCTCTGCGTGCCCCTTTGCCTTCTCCTCCTGAGTCCTCTCTTCCTGCTCTTCCTGACCCGGAGTCGGACTCTCTTCGTGCTGCCAGTCCTACTGTCACGCGTCTCCTTGCTACTGTTGTCACTGACCCTTCCTTTGAATCCACTGCTGCGTCTGCCCTAGTTACTGAGCTCGTCGACTTTGCTGCTCGCTGTCGTCTAGACTACGCTGCTAGTCTTGTTGCTGAGTCTGAGTCTGTCTGTCCTCCGTCCGTCGGGGGTGAGTGTGCCCTTGGCACGGACGTCCTTGAGGACAGGCAGGAGGAGTTCCAGTGTTTGGCTGCTGCTTCACCTCATCTCGTGTCCGTACTGCTTACCCCTGAGGGAGACCCGGATGCACTTGACATCCCGACTCCGCGCTCTTACGCGGAGGCGATAGAGGGTCCCTACTCCTCTCAGTGGCAGGCAGCTATGGACGCAGAGATGGCTTCCTGGAAGTCCACAGGCACCTACGTTGATGAGGTTCCCCCGCCTGGGGCGAACATCGTCAGTGGCATGTGGATTTTCAGGGTGAAGCGGCCGCCGGGTTCTCCGCCTGTCTTCAAGGCGCGTTACGTGGCTCGTGGCTTCAGTCAGCGGCAGGAAGTTGACTACTTTCAGACCTTCTCTCCCACCCCGAAGATGACCACTCTTCGGGTACTGCTGCACATAGCTGCTCACCGTGACTACGAGCTGCACTCTCTTGACTTCAGCACTGCTTTCTTGCAGGGCAGCCTGCACGAGGAGATCTGGCTGCGCCGCCCACTTGGCTTCACTGGGACTTTTCCTCCTGGCACCCAGTGGAGCCTCCGGCGGCCAGTCTACGGTCTCCGCCAGGCACCGCGTGAGTGGTTAGGTCAGGTCGTGTGCAGGTCATCAGGTACATGGCTGCCCTACCATAACATAGCATTCTTGCACCCTCTTAGCATTATTGCACGCTATGTTGCTCCTGGGAGACACAGACCGGAGCACATGGCTGCAGCGAAGAGGGTGTTGCGCTACTTGTGCAGTACGTCGGGCATGGGCCTTGTGCTTGGAGGGCAGAGTCCAGTGGTCCTCACTGGGCACGCAGACGCTTCTTGGGCTGACGACCAGGCTACGCAGCGGTCGTCACAGGGTTACACCTTCAGCCTTGGTTCCGGCTCTGTTTCGTGGCGGGCTACCCGCTCGTCTTCTGTTCTCAGCTCCAGTTGTGAGGCTGAGATCTACGCCGGGGCCATGGCTGCACAGGAGCTTCGCTGGCTCACCTACCTGCTGACTGACCTCGGAGAGCCGCCTCGTTCTCCTCCAGTGCTGTACGTAGACAACAAGGCCATGCTGGCCTTGTGTCGAGAGCAGAGACTGGAGCACAGAACGAAGCACATTGCTCTCCGCTACTTCCTTGCTCGTGAGCTACAGCAGCGTGGTCAGCTACGGCTTGCGTACGTGGCCTCTGAGGCCAACACTGCTGATATCTTCACCAAGGCACTTGCGCCTTGTGATCATCAGCGCTTCTGTACTCAGCTTGGTCTTGTGCCTACCTTGCCTCACTTGCTCACCCCTTGACCTTGTTTGTACTGTTGCATATATATATACACCTGCTCTTGCTTGTCTAGTCTTATATATATATATATATATATATATATATATATATATATATATATATATATGCAATCCTGCATGTGAACTGGCCTTGTGGCCTTGAACTTGTGCTCGGAATGTGTGGTGACTTTGTGATCCACCCTGAGCTTGTTTTGCTTTGCTTGACTGGTCCTGTGACCCCTTGTTCTCCCCCACTTTGCCTATGGGGGTGTGTCAGATTTATATGACATAGCTACTGTAGGCTATAGTGGGGTAGCACATATGGGGTACAGTTTTCTAGGGTTTGCTTTTTGTACCCAACTTTCACTTAGTCATTTCATTCCTGTTTTTCTTAATTCACAGGAACTTGAAAACTGAAAAGTTTGAAATGAAAAACGTGGGTGAAGGCCAAATGGCCTTCGCCCCCTCTTTTATACCGAAAAAGAGGGGAAGTAGCGGTTCGCCGAAGCATTTTGCTTCGGTACAAATATCTTCGCTATTCACAATACACAATTGTAGAAAGTGTTACACACTTTAAAAAATTTACATTTGTATTGTTTTGCTTCGATAGTGCAATTCTCGCTCACTCGCTCAATTGCACTCGTAACACATAGCCATCATACCACCGCAATCCTAAGGTTGTCCTCGCTTCTGTTTATTCTGTTGTGGCCTCCTGACTGAAGCTGCCTATGAATCTAAGCCAATACCGGACTGTGAAGGTACAGCAAATCTTTGCAGGGGGGAACGTAAAAGAACAAGTGTTGAAACAAGTGTTGAAACAAGAAAAGAAACCAGGCTCTTTTGTGAAGTCACATGCCAGCTCCACATCAGGAGAGGACCTTAAGCCAGGGCCGATCCTTCCTCACCGCTTTCCTAACCTCCTCCGAACCTCCAAGCAGCCAGAGCTCCCCCAAACGAGCCAGCCTCTTTACCATCTTCTTCACACCACTCTTGGTCAACCCACTGCCACCACCACCGCACAGCCCAGCACCAGCACCAGCAGTTGCAGAGCAGAGCAAAGCTCTCAATCTTGGGAAGAACTTTGCAGCACACAGGGCAGCTTCGTCCCTCAGATGCCACCCGAACAGGCTCAGCCATGCGAGCTCTTCCATGGGCCCCAGCACCCTGATCCACCTGCCACCAGATGCAAAACCAGTGAAGGATTTTGAGAGAAAAAAGAAAAGAAAAGAAAAAAAAAGTGTCTTGAACCCAACCATCACAAGGTGTAGAATTGGTGAGTCTTAAAGCCTTGACCCACCTTTCACCAGGTACGGAATCGGAATAGCCTGCAGAATTTGCTGCAAAACCCGCTGCAGAATTGGCCACCCAGGCAAGGTTGAGCGTGTCTAGGTGCTGCAGCTGGCAAATATGGTACATGGCCCGACATGTGATGCGCGCGCAGTGGCGCAGGTCTAGAGTGGTGATCCCTGTGAGCTGACACCAGACAGCCATGCCCTCATCACCCACAGCCGTCCTGCTCAGATTCAGCCTCCTCAGGTTTGTCAGATTCGTCAGGCTCGTCAGATTTGCCAGATTTGTCAGACTTGCCAAATTTGTCAAATTCGCAAAATCTGTCAAGTTTGCCAGGTTTGGAGCACTGCTTGTGACAGGGTACGGTGCTGCTGCACCGAACCTGAAGCCAGTGCATCCAGCCAAGCAGAGGCGAGTGAGCTGAGTGAATCGAGCAATCAGAGGCAAATCAGAGTCGACCAGGCGAGTGCAGTTGCTGAGATCGAGCTTTCTAAGTGCTGGGAGATTCAGGACGATGATTTGTTGCAGGCAGGGGGTGGTTATTGAGGGGTAGGCTTTGAGTGTGGATACGGTGGAGAGGGATGCGGAGTGGTGGAGGGAGAGTGAGAGGAGGTGGAAGACGAGCGTGTGGTAGGAGGGCGAGGGGAGTGCAGAGAGGTCCAGAGTGGTGAAGCCCTTGAGGAGTTGCGTGCTGTGGAAGGTGGCTAAAGATTGCAAGCCCTGGAGGGGAGCGGGGAGGAGAACGTCGGATGTGAAGGATAAAAAAGAGGAGAGAAATTGAGGGGATGCGAGATTAGCAGAATGGAGAGTTGAAAATAAGGGCAACAAAAAGAGCTGAATAAACCATGCGCGAGGACAATACGTTGGAAAAAATGGCTTTGAAAGGGCTGAAAAACAGCACTGCACTGTAGCCATCAGTGCACTGTAAATACCAGTGCACTGGGAGCGGATGCGGAATTCCTGAGAGTAAAGCTTAAAAGGGACTCAGATAAGAATAGAAGAGGAGCCAACTACACTTTTTACCATCCTAGGAAAAAGAAAAGCAATGAGGCGATAAGGTGGAAAATGAGGGACTCAGTGGAATTAACGATGGTGAGGAAACATATGTTGATGTACACATCACCTTTTCTATCATCTGAACCTTGACAATCTGCTGCTGCAGCTGCGCATCCATCGTTCTCATCCGTCTCTTCGCGCCTGTCAAAGACGAGCCATGACCCCCTCTCGGAATCCGTACTTGACAGCTTCGGCATTCCAGCTGCTTCAGTAGCTGCTGCTGCGGTTGTTGCTGCTGACGCTGTGATTTTTCCTGCTGCTGATCCTCTGGATGCCACTGCAGCACTTGCTGCTGCTGCTGCTGCTCCTGCTGATGCTGCTGGCACAGCACGGTTTCCTGAGTCACGAGAACCAACTCCCCGCTACCCCTGACTTCCGTCAGTTTCATTCTCACGCCTTCCACAAGACCCCTGATTCCCTCCACACTCTCCTCCAGCCTCTGCAGATGCTGCTCTGCGTCCTGAACGTGCTCTACTGCAGTCATCCTCGATATAAGGTGGTGAACCTTGTTCGTTATAGACTCCTCCAATTCCTGCACCTCCTGCGTCAGCTCTATGAGCACACTCGCCACGCCCTGCATTTCCGATAAATCGAAACAACCGCTGCTGAGAATCGAAACAGAAGCTGCTGAGATCGAACGGCCTGTGCTGAAAATCAGAATAGCAGCGGAAATTGAAGAGCCTGTGCTGAAGTTCGGACCATTGCGGAGAATCAAAACAGCCGATGCTGAGAACCGAAGCAGCCGTAGTTGAAAACCAATCAGCCTCAGCCGAGAACCAAGGTTGGAGAGCTACATGGCACTTGGAGCGATATCACGCTTTTTACAAAACGATGTCAATGAGCACTAATATCAGTATTCGCATGTCATCATTGGCTGTTAGGTCGCTGCCGGTGATTGGAATTCCAGGGACGAGCAAAAGTAGAACGCGAACTTGGTATTTCTCAAACAACGAGCTCCACATAACGGAAAAGGTCATTCATGGGTTGCCTTAAGAGTGTTTTACAGGTATATCGGAGCTACTAATCGCAACTTCATCTACTGAAGAGAACATAAGAGAGCGGATTCTGCGGAGCTCCGGACGCGTTGGCTCTTCCCGTTTTGAGTCTGCAAAATACCTCTTCTATCCATCGCCAGGAAATTATTCGTGAACAATGCACGTCTTGACTATCTTCGGACCAACGTGCTCGAGTAAGATTTTACTGCCTTATCCTCCCACCAACCGCTGCTAATCGGGGACTGACGGTCCCATATACTCCGTTTGATTCCGTCACGTCTATGCTCGTCAGCAGCACTGCTGCTGAGTCGGCCCGAATGGTACCAAACCATCCTCCCAGACAATCACGTATTTCACGCAAGCTGGGCCGCATCCAGGAATTCCTTCAGATAATCTCAAATGGCTACCTTGAGAGTCTCAAGAAGAACCTAGAGATGATCTCGCTCTTCTGATAGGTGGCACGTCAGGAGCAAACTCGAGACGAATGCACGAAAGGCACCAGGGATTTATTAGGCTGAAATCTGGATTCTCAGAACTCAGAGAGCTGTTTGTGGAAATCCCCAAGGGCAGTGGTTGGGTGCTGCTGCGATGTGAGTGATCTGGTTTGCAGCTCGCCACCTAGCCAGTTACCATCATATTCCTTTCGCATCTTGACTGGTGAGTTACCAAAAGTGTCTGACGAAGTTCGGTCGGAGGGACAATGGGGTTCGGTAACATAAGTCGTTGTTGATGCTGCGATCGTCGTCACCCTCGTTGCTTTTCGAGTCTGTTCGTTAATCACATAAGGTCTTTATTCATCGTATCGATAGTTATTTTAGACGTTCGAATGTTCCAATAGCGATGTTATTATACACTCCACTTATGCATGTGTTTGCAGCCTGCATCCTTCCCTCGTTGGCTGATTCTTCATGCCAACGCATGCTTGGTTGACGACGCACGTGACGATTGTCGTGGACAGGGGAGATCACACGTGCATGCAGCCACTAAAACAGGGAGTACAGCATTTGCAAGCGTGGAAACAGGTCAATCCACTCTACATAACGTGGACCTGACGCAGTATTTGTGCCACGACCGCACCGACTGTGGGAAATTTCTATGGTCAGCATGCCTGGTTGGCGGAAGAAATTGCCGTTACGTCCGCGGAGCCTTCATTCCGCGAATTCCCCTGAGACATACAGTTGTCGCACTACTCACCAACAGTTTCGCAGGGTAACCATGCGTCCGTCTAGCGATGAAAGCTGGGAAAGGGGAATCCAAGGAGAGGTGGTTCTCGCTCCTGTAAAACTTCGCTGATGCGCGCAGAAGTCTCCGCCGGCGCCCTTCAAGGTGCTCCGCCAGTAGTTTCCTCGCACAGCGAGTGCGTGCGGCGCGGCGGAAAATTCTGCTCTTGGGGGTCACACAATGCATGGGTGATGCGCGGGGTGAGTGACTCTGCTCTACTCTCCTATCCGCTGCCCTGCTGTGCTCTGCTCTGGTCTGCCCCGCACTGCTCAATTCTGCACCGCACGGGCGCGACTGCCCGCCACACCACATTCACGCCTGCCGCGTGCCGTTGCAGCATGACATGACAATGCAGTGAACAAAGGTACAGTAGTGTATTTCCAGGTGGCCTGGTCTGGATTCAAATAAACGCTCCACACCATTCTTGGTTTCGCCCGCGTACAGTGAAGCCTTGTTCATTATTCACATAATCTGGCGGCGCGCGACATTAGTCTTGGAAACCAGCTCCACCTCCTATCCTCCCGGTTATCTTCTTTTATTTTCTACATCCGACTGTAGCCATGGCGGCGAGCCTTCAATCTTCTATTCAAACCGCGAGCATTAGAGTACCAGTCACACTCCACGTGCCTCCGCAGAGGCTATCCCTGCCAAACTCCTTTCTCCCGCCTCTCTCTCCCCGCTTCTCTCGCCATGCTGACCGATGCGCGGACGCGCGGGATTCGCGGCGAGACTCACGGCACGATTCACGGAAAGAACGCGCTGGCGGCTCGAAAACCGCAGCGCGGATGCAGTTTGGCGAGTTCGGAGAGTTTGAGCATGTCGAGTCAGCGTTTGACTACGCTGACGAGGAGTTTTCTCGCGCCACCGTGCTCGAAGCGAGTGAGTCTGCTTCACAACTCGCACGTTTTTTTTCACGGCGCGTGACGTTTCGCTGCAGAGAGGCTGCGTTATGAGCACGGGCTCCGTTACAAGCACGTGCTCCGAGTACGACCACGGGTTCCGTTTCAAACGCAAGTGTACGTAGTGACCGTTACAAGCACGGGATTGGTTACGAGCACGCGACTGCTCACCTTTCCCCATTCGTTTCCCGCGCCGCCTTCTACCCCACGACCCTACCCTCCATTGCAGCTAGTGCCAGCAGCAGCGGAGACACGCTGCTGGTGGGAATGACGGACGGCATATCGTTCAAGTGCTCGCACAGCCTCATGGACGGGGTGCGCCTCCCTACCTTCCCCTTACTCATTTTTCCTCCACTGCCTTCCCCACCGTCTCTCTTCCTTTTCCACCCCCCTCCCTCCTCCCATCCCGGCCGCACCGTGCAGCGAGTGTCAGCAGCAGCGGCGACGCGCTTCTAGTCGGCATGACGGACGGCATATCGTTCAAGTGCTCGCACAACCTCATGGACGGGGTGCGCCTCCCGGAGTATCCCGCGCAGCCGGCGGCCGTACTTAAACTCGAAGACGGCTCGCGCATCCTCCTCCCCATCCTCATTCGTGAGTGCTGGCTTGAAACTTAACGCGATTCTCCGTATCGAGTACACGTTGTGGAAAAGCCCCCCTCATGGACGTGTGCGCCTCGCCGCGTACCCCATGCAGCCCGCCCACGTGCTGAAACTCGCCGAATGCCGTCTTTTCCTTGCTCTTTACTCTCCTTCGCGCACCTATCCATCCTGATTTGCATCGACACCGAGTCACCTCCCCCCAACCTCTGTCCCCCACCCTTCTCTCTCGGCTCTCCCCTGTTCTCTTTCCCCCCATCTGCAGCGCACCTCTCCAGCTCAATGCTCATCGACTCAGTGTCCCCTCCCCCTTCCCCTTTCCCTCATTCCTCCTCCCCCGCCTCTCTCCCGTGCTCCCTTCCTCTCGTCTGCAGCGCATCTCTCAAGCCAAATGCTCATTGACTCAGTGCGGGGCGTGCCTCTGGTGAGTTGACGACGGTTCCTCTAGTGACTGTAAACGGTGTGACTAAAACGAGTGTAAAGCTGAGAGTGGTTAGAAGATGTTGGTGCTTTCGCGACAGTTGAGAGTTGAGAATGTTTATAGCGAGAATGTTTCTCGTGCTGATGGTTCAAGGCGTGACTGTAGAAGGAGTGCGTGTACGGGATTCTGTTTTTTCAGTGCAAGCTACGTAGCTCATGTGATGATTACAAACAACGTCCCTTTTATAAGCTGTGTGTCGCTGTTCCGTTGTGAGATTGAGAGATAATAGATGTTTCTTGTGTGGTTGTGTTGTGCTATGCTGACGTGGCAGGCTCGGCCAACGGTGTACATGCTCATGCGAGATATGATTGAGTTGATGGGATATGAGGTGAGGCGGTGGGATCGTATGAATATGAGATGTTTCTTGAAACCTTTGGGATATGGGGCAGGAGGATGGGGTGTGAAATGGCTTATTGGTACTCTTCCTGAGTAACATTCATATGATATACAAATGCAACTGAACCGGCTATATTTTCTGTTTTTGAGGTGTATTGGATGCTACAAACCGACATATTCTTGTGTCCGTCCGCCCCCCTGTCCCTCCCCGCAGATCAGTTTGATTCGCATCACCCACCGAGACGGGGATGCATACTGTGCCCGGGCCTACCTATCCAAGGTCAGTCCAGAGTTGTGTTAGGCTCCTTTAGAGTTTCAGCTACTGCGCATCACCCATTGGTTGGTGCAGATCATGCTTCGCTCAGGGCTCAGGGCATGCAGCCAGTTGGAATTAAATGACACCTACCCACCCACCCACCCACCCACAACAGGTGTCTGCTGACAGCAGCACAGCCACAGGCAGCAGCAGCAGTGGGCCGGCTATGATGAGTCTGGACATGCGGCCATCAGATGCCATCAACCTTGCAGCACGCGCCAAGGTGGGTGATTGCAGCATTGTAACATGAAAGGCGAGAACCAGAACCAGTGAAGAATCA